AATAACCCGTTAGATACCCGTTCATCTGGGGCCCTTCGGGCCCCCAGATGAACGGGGATGTACCTCTTATTCCCGCCGCAGCGGGAAATAAATAGTACTTATGTAACAGCTTACTTAGTACAACCAATAAAATGTGTTTAACTTCTATTACATGTACATAACGGCTGTTATGGTTTTTTTTTTTTTTTTTAACAATAACCATTACTTTTATTGTATAGTCGTAAAATAACGCTCGTAAGTGTCATTTCTGTAATTACATTGTTTAAAAACTTATATGTTAGCATAAATATCGCCCATATGCATCCCAAAATATACGCACTTTGTTAAGATGTATTAGACTTCCTACTTCCTCAAAGTTTATATTTTAAAGACTTCCTTATCTAGAATTCCGATTTTCGTCAAATGTTTCACCAAAAATCTCGTCATTTCACTAGGAATTCCGCCTTCGTCAACTTATGGATTAATTCTTTGTTCTGTTTTGTTTTTATTGCATATAAAATGAAAGGCGTGGCAATTCGTTTTTTTTATTGCAGATAATTAGCTTAAAATTAGATGATATATGGCAATATGTTACAACGCATTTAGTGATTGACCAACCAGAGTTAAAAATTCGCTATCTTCGGGTAAAAATTAAGTAATGACGTAACTTAAAGAATGCATTTGGAAAGTGATAAAATATACGCCTTTTACATGTAAAATTCAAAACTCTATCTATCAAGTATTCAATCGTTATTATATTGCTATTTAGATATCTTCATTCAGACGAAATAAATAATCTGTCAAAAAAATTTTGCAAAAGAACACAAAAAATCAATATAAAAAATCTTACAGCTTAAAGTCTTGCCTATGAAACTGTTTTCCTATATATTAGCAAAGTTTTTTTTTAATTTTAAAAATAAAAAAATGTTATAACGAAATTTTCGACCCTAAAATAATATTTACTAAATAATATTTACGAAATATTAGGCTTAAAAATAACACGTGCGAATTTTTTTTAAATTAGTGATACTAGACTTAAGTCTTATACTCTAAAGCCGTTAGTATTTGTATTTTTCACGCGATTGCTGATTATTTTGAAATTAATTATAGAACGGCCAACAGACTCTTATATTTTAAGTCCTGGCGTTAACTGACATTAACTTTTTACGTAATACGCATGCCTGAATTATATAACAGATAATATAATTTAATTTGTTTCAATAATAAGTTTATTTAAGACATCTTTAATAAGGTCGTTAATGTTATTTTTCCGTATTTACGATGGGAATTAAACAAATATAAAAAATAAAATATAATGTATCTAAATCTTACAAATATCTGAACAGTCTCGAATACTATATAGACCATTATTTTGGACAACTTATCATTTCTATTTGTTTAATTTGATGAGAGATTACCAAATAACTTCAAACGGCCTAATATACGAGACTGACAATTCTTTCTTCGCTCACAACTTTAAAAAAAGAAATATAAATTTCAGAATAATTCAAAACTATGATAATTTATGAATGTCATTACCTTTCGTGCCGGTTTCGCCATCCGGTTTGATTGAATAATTTCCATTTGCTAAAATTCCTTCAATCACACCAGTCTTAGTCGTTGTATCTGGTTTTGGGTTCGGATAAAATTTCACTTTATCTGCAAAAAAAAAATAAATAAATAAAAAAATAAAAAAATAAATATATATATATATATATAATTAATATTCATACTAAATGTACTAAAAATAAGTACGTACCGTTTTTTTGATATTTTCCCATTTTTTCAAACAAAAGTAAAATTATAGATCAAACACATCATTCTTTTATATTCCTTTTATGAGATTCCTTCCTAATTTAGAGATAATGACATTCTGGATTGTTAGAAACCACTTATAGCATTTCAAGTAAGTACACCATCAATCGATCACAGAATCAATGATATTTCAAGATATTGATTATCGGAAAGATGAATGTCATTGTTTCTCGTTATGGAAATTAGGACTAGATTTACTTAAGTGGGTACCGCCAAGGGACACTCTAACATGTGGATTTCGGGTTTATTGCTTATCAGGCTCAGTCTACTTGATTTGTTAGATTGTTCAGAGAGATTAATTATTCAAAAGATAAATGTCATTGTCTCTCTTTATGGAATTAAGAAACTTCTTTGTATAGCTTTACTTAAATGAGTAACCACTGAGGGACACCCTGTCATATGAATTTCGCGCTTATTGCCTATCTGATTCAGTCTACCTGATTTTGTAAAGATTTAGTCTACCTGATTTTATATAGATTGCGTCCGGCAACTTGTAAATTTAAACCAGATGACAGATTTTCACTTAATAAAACCAAAGTCATTATCCTATACATAGTCCCACTATCAGATGATATAGCTTAAAATGAACTGTGCTTAGTTTGATAGCTCGATCATAGATCAATTATTTAAATTTGCAAGCAAATTCGCCTGCAAAACAACGTAAGAAATAGCTTAAAACTTATTATCAAATTTGATATGCTGCACAAAGTAAAAAAAGTAGATTTTAATGAATAATAACAAATTTAATTATTAATTCCACAATGAATCCGATTTTTTTTAGCGGAAGATCTTATAAATAACATTCCCTTTAAACATACAAGAGGTAAAATGATGGATAAAAAAACTTTTTCAGGCAGTTTCTTTTTCGTTTTAACGGTCACAAACTGGAATTCAGATGTAAATCAGGATTGAATCTCTATGCCTCAGCCTTTCTCTTAAACCGTTTCACTATCATTGTGAAACTTGAAATACGCTGCAATATAGACTACAATTTAGTATAGTTCGATAATAATAATTTACAGGTAAATTTGCCTGTAGGGCACTAAACCATTTAAAAATGATGAAAATGAAACTTAAATCCATATAGAGAGATAAAGGCGAAATTCCTAGTGAAATGACGAGATTTTTGGTGAAACATTTGACGAAAATCGGAATT